TCCCCCACCCCGCCCCCGTCCCCGCTCTCGCCTGCGCTCCCTCTCCCACCCTCGCTCCCCCTCACGCCCTTGACACCGCTCCCGGGCCCGCTCTGACTCTGGCCCCTGCCCCCACTTCTGTTCCTGCCCACGCTATGCCACCGCACCGGCCCCGCTCCCACCAATGCGCCTGTCTCCGCTTCCGCCCCCGTTGGGCGGGGGCAGAAATGAGAGCGGAGGCGGGAGGGGGGAGTGGAGATGAAAGTGGCAGCGAGAGTTGATATCAGCAGTTATCCCGGCTGCTCTGAAACGGGGGGAGGAGGAGTGGCACTATGCGTGATATCAGGCCGCACCATGCATAACGCAGGGAAATACTGGGATGATTTTGAATTTCTGAATTTAAAGGAAAAACATCTTCAATGTAAACAACCCTGTTTTTACATTCAGGGGGTGCTGTCCCCGACAGGGTAGGTGCACTAGGCGTGCAACCTTAACAAGTGAGCTTTTGACTAAGAAACCTTTCTCGGTCCACAATAAACGGCACAGCGGGTCGCCCGATGGTCAACCCTGATATGCGCAATGATTATCCCAGAGTCCCCAGCGCCGTAACAATGCTTGCCCTCGACATCATTCCGCAGGAGACCGCAAGTACGGCGTGGCGCCGTTCGACCCTGCGTTCATCGAGAAGTTGACGGTGCAGGAGAACGGCTTCTTCCTGGAATTCTCCAACATGACCATCTCCACGCACCCGCGCGGCTCCTGGCACATCGAGTCCGTCGAGTAAGTCCTGCGACGTTCTGTTTTATTCATTTGGTTTGCTTATTTTTTTAACCTTCTCACCTTACTTTGTAAGAAGAGAAAGTATTGTAATTGTGCCTCGGAAATCGGCAATTTTCCGACAGGAATTCTTATTGCTGGGCCCTACAAAAGAAAAAAATATCTTATTCATATATGTATATATTACTTCAAACACGTTATGTATCCAGAATACATGTTTTGTGGGTCTTTGACACTGAAAATTGATTTACGGCAAAGCGCCAAGACACCTATCCGACTGCCATTCCCTGGGTCAGTGGCCACGATAGTGCCTAAACCGTCTCCCAGATTTTCTCCAAAATTGATATTCCCCGATCGATCTGATCGACCTCGAGGCCTTGCGAGTTTTAAATGGGTATTTTGATTTTTGTGGGGACTTTTCATGTGGCCTCAAAAATATTCCCAAGAGCAGTTCCACATTATTTATTAAACTTTTTTCCTCGAAACTTATGTAAAACAAAGTATTACGTATGTAATACATTAATCACATGTATGTCAGTATTTATTTTATTTATTTAATCGGTAATTATTACAAACAAATTAGATTACTTGATCCTATGTGGCTAGGCCGAAGGCCTTTAAGCCATTACAATACCTACATCCTTTCGCGTTCTAATCTTTCGAATTCTGGTATTCACCCCAAATGTATCATGTATTCATGTATGTCAGTATTTCCAGCGAGGACGTATTCGCACAAATTTCATATTTTGCATGTTCGTTTGTTTCCAAGCCATCGTTTTGTTTCCAAGCCATTGGCCATTCCTTATCTTGTGAGGCTGAAACAGTGCGTTCTCTGCGCCACACACGCAATAGCAGGATGACAGGTCGTACTCCTAGTCGTTGACTGAACGCTAGTTGCTACGAGTATTCCTAATTCAACTTAGCATACAACTGCTACAGCAAACACTCTTTCACATTATTCCTATTTTGTACTTTTTGAAAATTTAAAGACTTCAACGAAAATAAGACCTGCGCCAATTTTTGAGCGTTCTTCGCTCTATCCGAGAAAAAAAACAATAAAGAAAAACTTTGGAACCGTTTTTAAAGAAATGATTGTTTAAAACTTGTCTGTACTTCAGGCCAATTACCCCCACGTTTTCGAAAAATTGCACAAGAGCTTGTATCAAGACCTGTTTTTGCTGAGCATATTTCATTAAGGGAAAATTTTCTATCTTCTGTGTTGTTAAGGAATACACCCCAAAAATTGAACTTGTCAATTTTCCAAACTACAGAATGTTATATGAAAATTATATCTGCAGTAGTTTTCACGTATCCTTCATTCTATCCGAGAAAAAAGTGTAACGCACAAATATGGAGCAATCTTTGAAAATGTTGATGTAATATACGCCTAAAAATCAAAATACAAGAAGTATCCACTTTTTTGTTACTAGAGCCCCACAAAACGCGTTTTTTAGACGGAACATCGCCACTCATCATTTTGGAGGAGGCCATCATAGATTTAAAAAAAATAATAAACATTTGTTATTATATTGAATGTTCTTTTTGTAGTGTATATATGATACTCTACAATGTTATTTTTTAATAATTACTTAATTCTAACATAAATAAATACTTTAAAACAATTTTGTCCCCCCCAAAAAAGGGGACAAACGAAACTGTGACAAACTAGGCTTTGAGGTGAAAAAAGGTGACAAACTAGGCCTT